AACTCGGCCCCAGGCAATGAAGACCTGAGTTGGTCTGCGCTGGGCTGTGTGACCAAGACACGCCCAGGCCTGAGTCTGTCGCGTATGGCTGTGTGACCGAACGCTGCACACAGGAAATTCAAGGGTCAAAGTCAACTGTAGAGTCAAAGGTACCGCACCCAGGCCCTTGGTTGGATACACTCACTTGTTGTGCGCAGGTACCCAGACAGCATCCAGACCGGAGGGAGTTCGGTTTCAGACCAATCTGGGCCCTCGTTTGCATTGAGATCTGGACCGTTGAGGGATGCAGCATCTGGGGTCCAGACCCGGCGTCAACGCTACATAAGCGCTGACTTCCTGGCTTTGGCATTCATTCAGTCTTGCGTCAATGCTGACTTCACGCGATGCTTGCTCGACCCTGACACTGGTGGACGCTGGCTTTGCGCTGGCATTTGGGAGATCACGGCGACACGCTGCTGGCTCGGCATGGTAGCTGGCTAGCTACTGTCTTCAAGGCATGCTGACGTGGAAGCTGCCACACATTGCTGCTGACGTGGCTGCTGCCACGTGTTCTATTACATGACCGGTTCTGCTGTTCTGATTCATCGTCACTCAGGAGGAGATCATGACTGTGGGGTAATCGTGGATACGTACCTTGTCATCTTGAGGTCGACATTGCTCCAGTGCGCTGATGAGGGACTTATTGACGTGCCACGTGGCACATTGAGGTTACTTCAGATACTCGTTCAGACTATTGATTATTGAGGTGGTGATCGAGGAGGGAGCCCGAAGCAGGAGTGGGCCTTGTATTTATTCCCTCTCCTTTGTCTAATCTCCCTCCTCTCTCCTTCGTCTGTGTATGCCCATCTCATTCTGTCTGGACACGATTTTGACTATTGGTAATCATCAGCTGGTTGACATTCATCTGGGCTTGCATTGTTGACAACTGTCTTCACGATCTGGGTTCGTTGCAAGGTTTTCATTATTAAAAAAAAAAAAAAAAAGAGCCATTCCAGGTCACTTTTTGTGAGCACAGCAGTGAATACATGATCACGACCTCGTACCTTATATCAAGTGGAAGTCGAAGATTCTGTCAGTCACCAATATTCTCTTTTTGTTTTTTGAAGGAAAAAAAAAAGGTGCTGCCTGCTAGGAGGTGCCCTGGTTGCGCCAGTCTATTGGTGGGGCACCTGATGGAAAGCAGGTCTGGCGTCCAATGAACAATGATTCTATTGGATGAAAAACCTGCCTCCCCAAGTATTGATTGCCCCGGTAGACCGGGCAATCGACTGAGCGGAGAGAATGGTGATAAAGGGGGTGCCTCTTCAGCCCTACCACAGGACGCCTGAACAAACAGTGATGACCCAGCAGCACT